TGAGGTTACCATTTTTTTTCCCTCGTTGAAGTAAAAGAGAGGCACAGGTCCCTACATATTAGCATATATAGAGGGGGAAAAAAAAGATCCAACCCTCAAATGGGGCTTTGAACAGAAAAAGCCCCTTGCCCAACATTTTAGCATCTTCCCACTGGGCAGACTAGAAGCTTTTACAAAGCATCATATCGCACTGGGTCTTGGATCTGTATCCAAAGAAATATGTCTGTCACTTGTGAAAATTTTTATTTCATTTATTTTGGATTTCAAACTAAATATTAATGACTAAAGACCATTCAAAATTGCAGAAGATGAAGTTCATTAAAAGTGAACATTGTTGTGTTTTCAGATTTTAAGAACATTTACGTCCATGTTAAATGAGATATTTATGTCAACTCTAGTGATTCCAGTATGTAGAACTATTAATTTACATACACATTTAGACACAAACAGTAATAGACCAAAAGTAAAACTATATTTCAACCCTAACACCTGTGTTGGGGAATAACTTCATACGATTGAATTCATTTATGTCCCCTCACTTAACAAGACAATGAACTGTAAACTAACACTAAAACATCAGACAGAGCTAGAAAGACTATTTCCTGCTACTTTTACCTCCGAACTGCTAGTCAATTGCCAATAGGTTATATCAGTACTGCATAGAGTATTGTATCCTGTAATTGCACCCACAGTCTTCCGTATAAACTTTTAAACGCAGCAAGTCGAGTTAATGGTTTACTATGAAAACCTCGTATTTACAAACACAGCAACATAAAATTGCTGTTATCAATCTAGTGTATGAAATGACACTTCATTTTTATTACTCGTTTACCGGCCTTCTAATCTTCAACTTACAGTGACAGTCATTACATAGATACTACGTATCGGTAATAATACATTTGATAAATTATCCTCTACATATACAGCTTTCTGATCAAGGGGAATAGATCTCATGAGAATTAAATAACAAACTACTCTTTGATAGCCCTAAACAAATACCTCAACGGTCCAATTCCTTTGGAATGAGACTTCAAATGACAAACTCCTTTGATACTATCTTCAGTGTTGTTTTGGTAGAAGCTAGGAGTCATGGAGTCTTCTTGAAAGGGTCACGTGGCCTTTAACGGCTGACCAACGTTTCATTTTCTTCATAAAACAGGTTCTAGAAACAACAGCTGTGTGTTTGTTCTTGCCTAGACCATACTGCATAAACAATAAACCCAGTAATTCTATCTCACATTACTTTTCAAGCTTCGAGAATGAAAGCTTTTATACTCTAAAAGCAGTTACAGTACTTTCATATACTCTGTGGAAGTTTTCTAGCTGCTTTCCAGTTCCCTCTACGCTATCGTGTTCCTGGAGAAAGAGAGACAAAGTCTTCATTAGAGCAATAAGATAAATCTGTGCCAACTACCCTACTGACAGTCACAGACGTTTCACAGAAGTGGAACTGGGACAGTTTGCTTGACCAAGGGAGCCAGACAATGTGCTATTTTACAGTAACAATTGCAGCCATGTAACACCAGCACTAAATGAATATAAGATCATTTTGCTGGATCAAAATTGCTATGAATACTTCTGAAGGGGTAACAATGATAGCCTTAAATTCTGGTGGAACAGCCATTGTGCCCTTGTACCATTTCACACCTGGACTGCCTGCAAGTAGTCGCATAATCTTTTCATTTGCCCCTTTCTCATCATAAATTCTGTAAGGTCATGCATCCAACTGTTGCTGTCTCACTTACAATCAGAAGTTGGTCGACATAATCACTCTTCCAATTAGCCACTCACTGAATTCTTACTCTTTTAATCTATTAACTGTATTGACTCCCATCCCTTCAATATCAAAAAGCTCAACAGACTTCTCTTTGCTCGTTGCAGATTGCTTCACGACACATGCACAATTGCTTGATTCATCCACACGGAATAACAAGGTGGTTCCACTGATCACTGCAAAGCAGTGTTTACCATGCTTCACGCTGAATGCTTACCTTTATGTCGTATAAACACTATTTACCATGACCCCCAACAGGTTCTGGTGGAGGCAGTGGATTTCCTTGGGTTCTAGAGGAAAGTATGTATGCAAGGACCAGGGAACTCAAAGAACAGTACTATGTGCTGTGCCCTCTTCAAACAACATCTACTGATGTGTACAGTTCAGTACTCCTAGACACTACCTGGGCTCTACTGCCCATTTCTACATATATCCTCATACTCCTTATCAAAGAGTTTGCCAGATTTCCCAAAGACCTATGATATATTCTATAACGTGGAAATGAAAGAAGCATGTTATGACTTGGTAGAGAGCTTCCCTTGAGACTACAGTACTCCAAATGAGGTTTTTGGGCAAAATAAACAGCTATAAGCTTGTTTTGTCAAGGAAAAGGGACATGAAGGGACTATGGTCATCAGTAATCAGCGGCTCTAGAAAGAAAGCAATGCATGCAGTAATGGTTTACTGCTTTCAAAACATCAAATGCACAAAGTCACAACATATCAAGCGGTGGTCGGTGATTTAATCCAAGTGTCTGCCAGAGCATCCCTCATGAATAAGAGGAAATACTGCAGCAAGCTGAAGCTGCAACTGTCATTTAAGCTTTTTACACTCAGCCTTTTGCTATGTCCTTCTGCATGTTCCTGCCAGCAATCTACAGGGAATGACTGACATATGGAACCCACTAAGGAGCACTAGTCAACCTGAATCCTGACAGACATAGCCCTAAATCTTGCTAACTGTACATTGCATTGCTATTTGACAGCTGCCAGACAGCAAATGAAGGGATCCTAGCGCTGACTGAGGTTCCTAGTGGACGAGTTTAGGGTACATGGGGTGGAAATGGTTGCCAACAATGAAGGGTATCACAGTTATTTTGAAATGCTCAACTTCATAGTTGTACTGACCAACTGATGGGAATATGCCTAAGCAGAAGAAGTACAAGACACCAGCATCATTGGCCATATCAGATCAGTAGATACTACTGCTTCTGCCCTACAAAACATCCACGATGTTTTGTACCACCGTCTAGGAACGCTCCTCCAAAATATGCAGACATAGGAGCTTTACAAGGCCCAGGCACGAGAAACATGTTCTGTCGACAGGCTTCCTTACTGTCAGAAGAGCCGCAGGAGTGAAGAGAGCTACAACCTCAGCATGTGTGTCGTGTGCAGCTAACGAGAGCCAAAAAGATTCTAAACAGCACAGACATTGTCCTACATCAGCTTGCCCGATGTTGATTTTGTAATCCTGTACTGACTGACCATGGAATGGTGCAAGTCAACAGCTGCCCTTTCAAACACTGTTATGATCTCTGCTCAGAGTTCAGTGAGTTTTACACCTAGCAAAGGGGGGAAACTAGTAGATATTTTCATGAATACTATCTTTTTCATTCTTTCCTGGGTTGGAATTCTCTCTCTACTCCTAATATTCCCAGACTTGCAACACGATACTCTGCCACTAATCATTAGTCTTCTCATCAGTCTGCATGCTTGAATGTCATCAGAAGTAGCTAATGATGTAGTCCATTATAAACACTGCACCTCCAGTTCTGCTTGTAATTTAGGGGGGTACCGCTTATTGCACTGTTTGTCTTGTCAATAACAATCGCAGTACTACTTGCGAACTCCTTGGAACAGAGAGAAAACTTTCTATTTGCATTATGAGACATCTTGTACTCCTCGGGGCCGTATGACATAAAAATTAGTAACGTAAAGTGTGATTTGTCAGTCAATGTATTTATTCCATGATTCTAAAAAGACCTGATGAAATTCCACAGTAAATCCCAGAGACTGAGTATATCAGTGTGATTTCTTTGTATATTGCATGGGGAAATCGCTGAAGGAATTGGGGCTGGTTTTTCACAGCGAGATATTGTTGTTTTCACAGAAGAAATTTAAAAGGAATGTGTCTTACTAAAAATCTTCCCTCTGATTGTAGCTTCTTTTTAAAACTGTTTTACCTTCCCCCTATCTTAGGAGTAAGCTTAAAATTTAAATATAGCAGGAATTCTGAAAATTTTTCTGAAAATTCCAAATTTCAGGAGGTACGGAAATGCCCTTCAACCCAGAACAAGGCACAACCTGCAGAAGTATATCATACACAGCAATAACAGGAAGTCTGAAAAAATTTTTATGAAAGGAGAAAGACTCGTGAAATGACTGAGTTAGAGTAAAAGCACAGACAGAAAAATCCCTCCTCTACCTAGACAACAACTACCAGAGATGCACAAAATTATTTTCTCCGTGAATTTCAGGATGTCTCTCATATGAGCTTAACTGAAGAAAGAACAGAGATCATCCTAACTGGACTATTAAGAAATCCATATTAAATCTTACTTTGGCATAGTTTATAATTCAGTACTGTTGGACCTACACCGGTTCTACACACGCTAGCTGGGGCACCAGAAATAACAGAGCTCTGCGAATGTGCTGTTGTGGGAATAAGGGTAGCCAATGTAGTGTTCCTCCATGGCTAAATTTGTCAATGACTCTGTGGGAGGGTGAGGAAGGGGAAATCACACTACAGTTAACTTCTAGCAATGGAAACTAGGCTGTATAAGAGGCTGTAAACGTCTAGATCCGTCTTCACTGCAATAAAATAGCTCTGGTTATCCTATCCCAGTTGCAAAATTCAGGCTAACCTAGGTGGAGGCAAAAGCAACTGTACTATGAAATGCAAAGAAAAATCTGATCAGCAACACCGAGTGATTAAATTACCAGTGTCTTTATCATCAGAAGTTAATTTAATTTGAACTTCTGCATTCCTGTATCATCACTTAATTTATCCACAGAACTAGAATTTCAAAGCAGCTACAAGGAGAAGCCAGCTAACTCTAAGCTGACAGCATCATTTAACTCTAGTTAGAGATTCTGTGGGGAAGCAGAAGTACAGCAAGATTTGTTATAATTTGAGATTCTAATGCAGTGGTGGCCAGTCTTAAAAGCAGACTGTTTGCAGCAATTCACAGATATTCATGTAAAAGGAAAAGGATTATAACTCTTACCTATCAGACCTTTCTCAAGAGTAAAGGTTTTGTTGGTAAACATGCATTCAAATGCCACAATATGGAAAACTTTGTTCACTGTGTTGTGGGTCCCAACAATTCGGATATACCTATGGAAAAAAGATAAGTAGCACAAGTTAAGCATGACAAAATTCCACTTACCAAAGTATAAACAATTCAGTGGGACTGTACTGCACAGAGCTGTTAAGAACAGAGTAACTGTACCCCCCCCAAAAAAAAACAAAAACACAGCAAAACTCGCTTCTATTCAGTATGTTGGCTCCAGTAGTGTTTATGAGAAAAACAATAAATTTAAGAGCTGTGAAATCTTTCAAGACTTTAATTTGATGAGAAAACCAAAATGAGGGACTCTCCAGACCAGAAATGAACCGTTAGTGCAAATGGGCACCCATAATATAAAAACATCTGAAAGCTGCAAACAGCTTCCTGAATCTACTCGTAGCTATGGAGGCTTTAAGGAAAAAAAAAAAAAAAGGAAACAGGAAAAAGAAAAAAAAGGAAAAAAACCCCAAACTAAACTCATTACCAGCTGCTTCCCACCACTGTTAAAGATTTCATACAACCAATATAAACCCAATAAATCAACACGACTTCCCTGCAGAAGCCATACATTGTTTCTCTTTTAATATGACTCTCTTTCTAATCCCACATTAATATACTAACACTGCATGTCCAATATGTCTGTCTTTGTTGCTGTATCTTTTATTAATTAATTAAAAAAAAAAAGTCTTAAAAGTCAAAAAATCTTAAAAGTCAAATGTTGCTAAACAAAGCTACCTCTAGGTTTCCTTCCTGGTTGTACTACTTGAACTTCTAAACTCTAACGCAAAGTCAAACAGAGCCACGCTTGAACACTGAGACCTACTCACCCTTTATATTACCTTGGAGGCTTCACCTTCTAATAACTAATCATTAATCTTGTCTCAGTCCGCTCCCCTCATTTTCTGAAGGGATCTGAAAGTTCTTACCGTATATTTTGGAAAATCGTAAATGGGATATTGTACACTGTCTCAATAAACAACACGGAAACCTGCCTTCAACAAATAACATTATCCCAAACGATGAGCTACCCATACTGCAGAAAGCCGCGTATTAAATGAACGCACTTCAATTAAGAAATATCAGAATGCACGAATCTTAGGTAATATCCTTCCTATATTATATAAAACAACCTTTCATTTATGTAGTATAATTATAGTTCCAATGTAATGGCTATTCACTAATGCAATAATTTTGTCTTGCATTCTTCATTATGCACAGTTAAAAAGATAAACTGTACTTAATCACCAAGCCTACAAATTATATTGGAGCATTTTTAAGTACATGAGGCAGGCATGCTGAAGAGACACCACAGTCTGACTCAGGCAAGAAAGATGTGAGTTATGTTGCTTGTATAAAATACACTCTAGATTAATCAACAGAGCATTACTAATGGAGACACTCTGAGAAGCTTCGTAAGGCTTAAAGAATTTGGAGAATAAACAAAACTAACACTGTTAATAGGAACACAACAAACTACTTTGTATCGGTACTAAAACCTAATTTACTTCTATTTCATCTGGAACAAAACTGCAACAATAGAGGAAATGTCCTGAACTTCTTTTTAAAAACATATGCATATTTATATATACCCACATATGCATATATACATATATTTGCACGCACACACACACACGTGTGCGCGTGTGTGTGTTTATCAATATCAAATAGGTGGGAAAAACAAACTCAAAATTTGAAGAATCTACCCTGGACAAAAACATGCTTATAAATGCACACTTAGGTTAAAAAAACATATCGCACGCTGGTTAGTAAAATTCTCTGTCAACAGAAAGGAACATATTCTCACATTCCCCTAATAAAAACGGGAACAGATTCTAGTAATAAAGTCCTGCAGAACCTGGACACTATCTAACTCAGTGTCAAAAAACTGTCTAATCCCTCTTTCCAATAGTTCTGATCACAATGGAGGAAACTCACTTAAAGTGGTAGTTAAAGGATCCCTCATGGAAACTTGAGTGTTCTTGTATTCCTCTTAGAATATAATTTACAGAAACACTCAGGGTGTTCACACAGGATACACAACCTCACTGTAAGTTTATCTGCAATGCGACAAAACATAGAAATGCTGCATTTTGATCACGATACTCATGTTGGTTGATAGTGTCAACCAAAACTAAAGCTGTACTTGATACCATAAATTTGAATGGAAAAAATGTGACAGGTTGTTTTTTGTGGGTGTGGGTGGGTGGGTGCGTGTGTGTGCGCGTGTGCGTGTGTGCGCACACGTTTAAACCAATAGGAACAACATCTCATTAGAGAAGATGTAGCTATACTAACATGATACTGCTTTTAGGTTCTGCCTAGCTGGGGATCAACGTGCAAGATCTTCTGAGGCTGTTAAAAGGCCCAAGGCATAAACACCTACGAATTACACAGCGTATTATCTAACAGCCTGCTGGTTCCCACAGTGGAATATGTGTCGAGTACTTGGCGATAACGAGGTAACATCGACAGAGATGAGCACGGTGAACGGGCTCTCTGTGCAACTACATACAGCAAAGCAAACTTGGAAGGAAGTGTGCAGACCAGAGGTATGCTTGAAAAATCCACCTTTCCTCCGTGCAGCGTAGGGCGACGTTTCCATCAATTTCAGATTCCAAAGCTGGGACCTTTTCCAAGGAATACTGGTGCTGATAATCCCTCTTTATACAATAATCTGTTCTTTAAAAGAGTTGTCCAGAAAGAGATTCAAATTCAACTCCTATTTTTAATTGGGGTTCAAACCCGCAAGAAAGGTCCCTACCCACAAAGATATAGGCTATTCTGCAACAGGGCATTCTCTACCACTGTATTACACACAGGTTTGAAGCCACTCAACTCAGAGAAGTACCTAACCATTCCTCATTCAGGAAGCATATCATACACCCTCTACGCTAAAGAAGGTATAGGTTGAACGTGCTCCCCTCTCTCCCCGCTGCACCAGCTGCTGTTATAAAGTGTCAGTAGCACCAGGCATCATTGTGAGATCAAAGGATACTCAGTCAAGACTGCAGGAGTGAACAATTTCAGTAGTCCCTTATCTTTCAGAGTCTGACTTTGCAAGTTTAACTGTCTTTTAACATTTGCTTTGGATTTATACATTATACAAATAAATAGACCCTACAAGAAAATAAATGAAATCTGGTTAACTTAATATTTTCCTCCTGTTTATGATGATATCTTGCATGTCAAAAATGACAAGTTATGAGACTGGATGTGCTGGGATGAATAACTTCTCCATTTTCTGCACCCAGTGTATGCTATGAACAACAAATCAACCCATATAGAAATAAATTACACTTTTTAACTGCATAATAAAATATCTGATTTAATCTTGAGTCTTTCTGATATTTAAGAGTAAAGGTCAAACTTTGCACTGTTTTACAATTACCTTTCACCTGTTCAAGTACTGAGAAAAATTTATCTTTATTTAAAAAAAAAAAACTTCATCTTTGTTCATCTTTAAGACGAATGGTCATCTCCCACCTCCGACATAGTCCTCCAAATTAGAAAAAATATGAGGAAAAAAACAAGGGACAATATTTCAGTAGGTGGCACAACTCCTGAAGTTTAGGATAGGTATCTTTTATGCCGATTAAATCAACATAAATGAGTTTATTAATAAACTTAGATGGCCACACAGAATCATTCTTCTACAATTTCCTGTATTTGGCAAACATGTCATTACAGACCCCTGAACAGACTACCTTGTGAGTCTCAATTGCAAGACAATATAAAAGCTTTGATTACCACAACAGGGAGGGGAAAAAACAACAGAAAGCCCAAACCCTCAACAAGCCAAAAGCTTTAGAGCACTGTGTTAGGGGGTGATGTAAGCCTGAGCAAACCTGACTTGGCCTGAGACACGGGAAAGATGAAGAATTAACTGCATAACCAAAACTCTAATGCCACACTGAATTTGAATTATATTGTTCACTGAGAAAGAGAAGTAACAGACAAAAACGAGGAGGACAAACACTAAAAACACTACAGGCAGTTTTACCAGTTGTACTAGAAACTGCTCACCTTCTTGTCGGGAATGAAACAGCTTTATATAGCACAGAATTTCCTAAAAATATATCTGTCAAATGAGAGTAAAAGAACTACAATTCAAGAGTTAAGACTACCTCCTCTGTCAGCTGACTTTATAGGCAGCTAGTAGATGGGAGGAAGACAAAAAGAACACTGAATCATGCTTTAAAAAAGAAAAAAGAAAACCTTGATCTCTTTTGGGACAGGGGAGAAGACAGTCTAAGAGTACTTCACTGGCATGTGAACAGGACTGTGGCATGAGAACTTTGCCCTTTTACAACATTTTACTTTGGTTTCTGGGCCTGTTTGGGAATAATGGATACACACATTATTTAAGCACAGTAGGAGTTTCATCCACATGCCACAGACTTCCCCAGTCACAGCTGGTTATGCTACACTTGGCCCAGAGAGAGATTCCCTCCACATGAATACCAGGCAAATCTGTATTATTCCTTTGCATTATTTATTTTATTTGCACTAACAAGATAACAAATATTTTCTTCAATTAGAGGGAAACAGCAGGCTCTACTGGAACCTGGCAGAATCTTAAACTCTTAAAATTTGAATGAACCGTTTGGTTTGATTAATTAGGCAGCCACCCTGCAATGCCTTTTTTTATCCCCGATGTTTCCCACAGAGCAACTCTTCACCTTTACGTGAAACTATTACTTGGACACTGTTGTGGCTATAAATATTCATATTATATTCCTAAATGACGATCTTATGTTTTACTTCTGCTGTTTCCGTTTGTACAGCTGACACATTTAATTCAAATAACAGCTGCTGGTGGGGATACCAGTGATTCAACTGTGAATACCCTGGAGAACTGCTAATATCGCAGCCCAGTTGGCTGCAACAGAAAAGTACTTGGGACATATGTGCCAAAGCATAAAAACGTACATACTCTTTGATTCTTTTAATTCTTCTCATAACAGTGCCAGTAAAATATAGACAAACTCTGAAATACGTTAAGCATAGATTCTAATCCTTTGAGAATATTGAGACAGAAGACTAAGAG